TAAACGAAAGAGAGCTGGAAAGAAGTCTGAAATTTTGACTAGTTCACCTTTCACGAAAATTCTCGTTGAAGCTGAAGCAACTATGAATGCCAAAGAAGCTGCGAAAAGGAAAATTAATTTTCCAACAGAAAAATACAAAGTAAAAAAATCATCTACAAAACCTCCAAAGAAATTCAAAGTAAAGCTAATTGAAAATGCAGGTGTCTGTCCGGCTTGCAATGAAATCTATTCGGACCCTCCAGAAATTAACTTAATTCAATGTTCATCCTATAGTCAATGGTTACATGACGAATGTACTTCATATGAAGGTGTCAATATATTTACGTGTGACTTTTGTAAATGTATAAACCAACAGTAATATATTTATAAAAATGTACCTATAGACCTTGCTTACTCTTGGAAATAGCAGTGCGTACACTTTTGCATTCAAGAGTGCGCATTTTCAATATTTTGTGTTTTGTTAAATATAGAAATTATTTATAGAGCAATGATTCTATTGTATGTTTTTTTTAATGTTTGAATATATATATTATTTAGAAAAGCTAAAAGTTTCTCTTAAAAATGAAGTATATTCTTAGAATATGTCTTTAAAAGTTAAGTGCGTGCTCTTACTCGATCTTACCCTAATTCTTATGAGGAATTGGTTACCATCTGTCAAATTAGATATGTTTGAAAATATATAAAAATGTACAGTGCTGCAGATAGTGGTGACTCCAGTGTGGTGCATAGTGTCCCTGGTAGCACAATCGTGTGCAATTCTAATACAAGTTGTTTCAAGTTTATTTAAAATAGACAAATTGTTTTGTGTCTCTTGCTGAAATATCGTTTCTTATGCAAGATACTTTTACAATACTTGCACCAGACAACCAAAAGAACCTGAGTCCAAAGGGGTGAATTAGTATAAGTCAAGTACCTACAATATGTCTTACCTACTTATTTCTAATGTAAGTCTGCAACATAGTCACTTGCTTTAATTTAGCCCTTTGTGCTCAAGTGCCCTGAATCAAATCCATGAAAGCTTTGATCAAGACGATTGCACAATGAATCTTGCAGTAAACCTGATGCTGATTTTAACAGTAGGTACACAGCAGTCTTGTATAAGTGTCTTGTGCAAGATTTTGCTACCAGGGGTTGTGTACAATTTCCTGGTTAGAATTTTGAAAATTTTTTATCTCGAAAACCAAGTTCGACTGCACAAAAATAACTTGAAATTCGTGTTCAGTACCATCGAAAAAAGAGGATAGGGACATTTTGCTGACGATTTAGACGGGTTAAGCTATAGTAAATAGTTACCCAACATACTTATAAGTATGTTGGGTAAATATGTATATCTAATTTGATAGTAAATAATTCCTCAAAACAGTTCTTATTAAAAGTTAAAGGCTTAGGTTGTGTTCAGATTGGGTTAGGTTAGGTTGGGTTGTGTCAAGATTGGCTTAGGTTAGATTATGTTGGATTAGGTTAGGTCGAGTTAGCGGAAAGAAAATAACTCACTAGTGTCTTATGACATATAACTCACTAGTGAGTTTTAGGCCACATTATTCCTTTAAAACGAAATAAATTATGGTATCATTATTACAAGTGTTGGACAAATAAATAAATCAGGGTATTTTAAACGAAACAGACATACCGACAAAAAACCATCAAAATAATTTTCTCAACGACCAAATAGAGGAATATGTTACTCCTCACATTTCTGGTTATGGTTAAGGGCACCAGAATCCGGATCTATAAAAATGTTGAGTTTACCGTTTCATGTTGGAAACTTTCTTCTGCCAGACAATCATAAGATTTCCAACAATCTGATATGGTAGTACCATTGTTATTTACTCATACAATGGTAGTACCCATTTCTTGATTACCTCGAGCACTGTATCCTGTTTTACCCTGTCATCATAGGAACGAGAAAACATTTTTTAGAATCGCGTTCAATACCTCCAACACTCCATAATTATTCTACCCCTATTATATTTCCGTTTGCCCATCCCCCCACTCCTATTTGCTCAGATCCTTCTATAATGTAGACTAGACAGACCCCTCTGCAAAAACTAGATGAATCTACGACAGTTCTAAAAGAAATAAAGTTTAGTTCATGCTCGATCAACGTTTGTCTAGGGTGGAAAGGTAGCCAAAGTGATATAAACTTGCAAATTGTGTCCAGTATTAATTAAATTAATTAATTATGGGCCCTGGCGTAACACTTAGGTATATACCCAGGTATAAACTTTGGTATGTGAAATCAGTAACTATACCACCATAATACCACATATCTTAAGCTTAGTGAAAGTGAATCAAAGCAAAAAATGAAGCAAATATTTAAGAAAGAATGTTGTTAATTGGTAATCTAGAAGAAACGTTTAGAATTTCTATACTTTCAAAACGATCAACTAACAGGCCTTACACAAGTAATCAAGTATGGATTTGCAAGAGTCTAATATGTCTGTTCTGGAAAATCTGTAAAGATATTAGGCATGTATGATCTCATTTCGCATACTGCCCCAGCTGCCCGGTAATTTGTGAAAAAGCAAGAGAAAAGAAAATGTACCTACATACGTGGTGGGACAACTTTATTAAAAATACGCACAAAATATCAGATTATCAGATTGGGAACAGTAGATCGAGTTTGAAACATTTTAGAACAATATCTCCATTAAATTTTGAACATTTTATAAATTTGATTAAATCAGAGTTGCTGGTCAGGAGTCCATAATTAGAAAGAATATTTCGGTAACTAAAAAACTATTCCTTACTTTTACGATTATTATTCGTTACAGAAGATTCTTTTCATAATCTACTATATTTTAGGAGTTGCATATTAAATATTTCAAAAATGATTCTTGAGCTTCTTTAGCAGCTTTAATTGAGAGAATATAGTAAACATGACATAAATTTATCTTATTTTCATTTTATTTTGTTAAACTTTAATTTTACGTTACTCTTTTGTTAAGATACTTTAAATTAATTTTGAAAATGTTCTTATTAAATTATGCTAAGAAAAAACTTCGTAAACAAATCACATATTTTATGAATTTTTTCTTAACTTCCCCAGTGGTCATTTTCATATTCACTCTAAACGTTTTATTTATTCATTTTATTTTTCAAATAATTTAGTTATAGTTCTATTATTTCATCCTCCAACCACTGCTTTTTCATTGTACTACATATAGTTTTTATAATAGAACACTGAGTTTTGTTAGAACGAAATTATAATTGTTAGTGAGTATTTTAATTTCTTATGCAAACATTGTTCATAAACATTATTGGCGAATATTGTTAGCTAACACTGTTTACGTCAGTGTAAATCCGGCGTGACATAATACAATAATAATATAAAAAAAATAAAATTCTCAATGGCGTAGATGTAGAGGTGCCATTTTTATAAATAAAAGAATATAAATCAGTATTTATTAACAATATTTTATCCATCCAAACCTATTGTAATACTGTTCTACTATAAAGTAGAAGTAATTTGAATGGTTAGTTTCGAATAATTTTGATAGAACTTTAAAATATTATTTATCCCAGTCACTGAGAAGTTACTGGGATAGAGATCCGACGATCATGGTACCTATACTACTTTAATTAAATTAATGTGTTACTTAACGTAGGCAATTTGTTTTTAAAATGTTTCGAAAACTGTGTACATGACAACGCGGTTTTAACACTATAATTCAGAAATTAATTATACAGGGTGTTTGGTAAGTCGATGCATTCCTTGCAGGAGGTTATAGTGCAAATGATTTGTGATATATTTCCTTAATATACCAAATTCCGAAAACGCTTAGTTTCTGATCTACAGGGTGATATAGTTTTAATAAAAAAATGTAAATTTATAAATATTTCAGAAACCGCTCAGAATATTTTAAGAAATTTTACAAGCTTTCACAATTAACAACAAAAATTATTATTATTCCTCGCAGTTAACATCAGTCTAAAAAATTTTTATCAGTTTTTAGATTCACTATTTACTATCCAAACAGTTTTTTATTACAACTTAATTTAAATTTAATAGTAGTAACAAATAGAAGATTGGAGTATCCATCATATTAGTCACTGTTTTTTTTTAATTAATAATAACCCTTGCTCTAAAAGAACAAGTCAAGAGATTGACTTTATAGGTACTTAGTTTTGCTTAACTGGAAGGGTTATTTATTCAAAAAATTTTCTTGTCAGTGTGACAGTACCCAGTTAAATAAAAATGGTAGCAAATGACGCCACAAATAAATGATTACATATATTCTAGAAAAAAATACTGAAACATATTTATTTTATTGAAATGTGAACAACGTACCTACATATTTTATAATTATAAAAAATACAGGATGTTACTACGATATTCAATGTTTTTCCTGAAAATAAGTTTTTGAAACTCTTAAAAGATCATAGAATTTTTACAGGTGAGGGGGGAGAGGGATTGTTGCACCTGATACACAAAGAAATACAGAATATTTAGTACGATGATCAAGTTTTTCCTCATAACTTTAGGTATTGTTTTCTTTATATGAATAGAAAATAGCTATAGAACACTTCCATTTTTTGTGATCGACGCATACCTTGATGTTAAAATTAAATCTTTAATTTCAACTCTGCGTTCGTAACTGTTGATAATTGTATTTTTTTTAATTATAAAGTCTGACACCTTAGACATTAGAAAAATTTTAAAGAATATCGAGTAATATTTTTTTTAGCTCAACAAATATTCGTATTATATATTCTTTTGAACTAAATTGTGTATATTTATATTTTTGTTACATATGTCACTTTTATAAATGTTGTGCGATTATGTCAGAAAAAAAAATAGGAAATTTTAACTAAAACATTTTATTTTAAACAAAACTCAAATTTTAAAATTTTGAAACAAACATTTCTATAAATTATGTATACTAACTGTGCAATGCATAAAAAATTATGATTAAGTGCAATTTTCAGAGGTAATTATTTACTATTATTTGACACTAACTTATAAACTTATTAAGGAACAAATAATAACTAAAGTCAGATACTGTACAAAATATTTGTATAATAAATAACACATGAATAATACAAAGAAAACCACTGAGGAATAAATTAACACTCGAACAACAACTTCATCAGTAAACTCGAAGTTTCTGCTGCTGCTGGACATGGTAGGGTGGTGCTCCAGATTGCTCTACTTTTCCAAAAGTAAAAGTTTTTGATACCTTCAACATCTTGGGCTGGTGAGATGAAGTGGCTTGACTTGGAGACCTCCAATACACTGTCTGAATAGCGTTTCTTCCTGCGATGTAGCGAGTTGCAGCACCAACTAGATTTTTGGACGACATCTTTACTTTTCCGAAAACCTTTTAAACGTTCTTGAAACTGTTTCTGGACAAATAATATAACCACAGGCTATCTGCTTAGTAACAGACTGTACGCTGATGGTGACTTCAAACTGAGAATTGGAAGTGATTTGAAATGGGTTACACTGGCTATTTATATGAAACTCTTATCTCTTTGCTACGAGACTGAACTGATTACTTGTATATATTATTGTCCAGCTGATTTAAGCGTGGTAACATACGAAGCGTCTTAAAAAAATTCCGTTTTGTGCATGAGGTAATTCCTTGTTACACTTGAATTAAGGAAAACAGAATGACTAATGGAATATCAACAAAAGTATGGACTATGTCTACACGATTATGATTTATCAAACAATATTTTTTATATTATTTTAACAATATTTACAAAATTTATAAACATTTGTAAGTACAAAGTACAATCTAAAACCTTTTATTAAAACTCTCCATCTGGAGATTGTTAATAATAATACTCTTAAATAATTTCATGAATTAACTTTTTTTTTTTAACAACGAAAGGAATTAGAAAGGTAACCGAGTTATTTCTGGTGTGTTTCATAATTTTAGAAGTGTATGTACTTTACTAAAATTCATAATAAGGACAAATTTATCAAAAACCAACCATTGGCAGATTCAGTTCAATTTATGTATTTTTTATAATTTTCAGTTCATTCAATAAATAATAAATACTTATGTAAAATATATGCAGAACAATAGGATGCAACAATACAATGTGTAAAAATGAAGAAACATTTTTTTCTTCCAATTTGAAAAATATTTTCTTCTATAAATATTTGTCTTCATTTTAAGATACTGAAATACTGAAATTTAAAAAACAGTTAGTTTTTGCTTTCCGCGACAAATAATAGTACCTTTTGTACGTAAAACTGAATAGAGAATAGGAATGTTTAGTCAAAAATGACATACAGAGCGATACAAAAAATTTATAGTTATTTATAGTTATAGTTTTTTATATCATTAAACAAAAAACTAAGTAAATATTTGAGTTTCTCATCATCAATACTCCCAGTTCCCCGAATTTCGTTAAATTACCATGGTATTGAACAAAAGAACTCAAGAACCAAGGCGTTGCGGACCCATGTTCATATCAATTTTTTATTTTAAAATTAGTCAAAGATTCACACTTTAAAATTTGATGAGTATTTAATAAACACCCTGTATAGATGTAGATCTAAACAGGGTGTTTATGCATTCATTTTACGCAAAAACTGTAGCTCGCTCGGTACTGAAAAAAATATTTTTTATAATGCTCGAAATTTTATATTTAATTTAAATTAAAATGGTTCTACAGTAAAAGATATGTAAAAAATCAAGAGATCATTTTCAACCAGTAAAAGTTTTGCATTTTAATATTGATAATTGATAAAAAAAAACTGCAACCAACTTATCTTACAATTTTTTCACCTTCAATACTATTTTATTCACGTATTCGTTTCAATTATACAGAAGATATTTAGAGAAAGTTATAGCATTTTTTGTTAAAATTCAATACCCTGTCTCAAAAAACGAAGGTTTCTAGGACAAATATTTATATAAGAAAATATTCTTAAATTAGGATGAGGAAAAAGCTCCTTTATTTTGGACATATTATATCTAGTTATAACACCCTGTATGTTGGTACCACTAAACGTACCTTTGTCGTATTACATTGTTTGTGAAAACTTGTATTTAAATATGTTTAGTTATGTTCAAGTGGAAAAGATCAATGTACAAAAGTATTCGAAATATAACAATGTTCAGATAAAAATAATTATTGGAAAACAAAATACTCTGTATTTTTCCAGCAAATAAGTTTAAGATAGAGTACCTATGTATAAATAAAAACAGGTTTTCTGTTAATTAAAATTAAATAGTGAACTAACATTTCGATATTATTATACTTACTTAAATGACCATTCTAATAAAGAGATATCTGCAAGGTGTATTTATTATGACATTTTTTTTATAATAATCCATTATTATTTCATGTAATAGTTTCATAACGCGGCAGTTCAAAACTGTATCTACCTATAGGTATCTAATGACCACCATGTAGGTAAATAAATTTCACAAAAATTTTTGACATAGTGTTTAATGTTTTATGTGCATGTAGGTTTAGATGTACCTATAGGCCGACCCGGAACTGATGCCGCCATTATAGGAAACCGGAATGAGCAAACATGTGTGCTTAAGTAAAAAATTCTATCTTGATAAGTTGTGAAGTCATCGAAATAATTTTTCTCATTTTGATAAATATTTTTTCCAGATGAAACTCTTTTTCCTCAACAACTTTTATTAAAAAAGTTTTTCGATATCTCTTCTCATTCAAAAGCTATAAGACGATATGTAGAAGAAAAATGCTAGTTCCATTAGGTCCGTTACTGATTTTGTCAGAGTTGCCATGGAAGAAAAGATACTTCTAATGTTTATATAGGCTATTTATTATATCTAAAAAACAGGGTTAAAAGCAACTATGTCGTTCAAGCAATTTTATTGCATGAATCGTTAAAAGGGTCATTATGAAAAAACCGCGGAGTGCTTTTAAAATAGAGGGTGGAACTTGGAGATAGGGGTGAAAATACACCCCTTTCAGTTTTTTAATTGAAGTTCGAAAACGAAGCAATATAGGTAGTTCATAAGAAAAATTATTTAGAGAATTGAATTTTCCATCGAAATGGCTTATTTAAAAAATTTGAAACGAAAAATTTTATGCAAAAAATCGTTAATAAATAATTTGAAAAAAAGCAAAAAATTCGATTTTGATTTTTTTTTATTTTTTGCCTCTAGTTTTTTTTGAGTAAAGATCGGTATAGGCATTGCTTCACAAAAAAAGTAGATACAATTTTCTTCCAAAAAAGAAGTTGTAAAGTATTTTTGGATAAAAATTGCCTGATATATGGCCCCTTAAACTTAGCTAATTTTTCGATTTTCGTTGCGTTTACCCTTATACGTTTTAATTCTCATTTTTTATAAAAAATTTAAGGAAATAAGACGTTTAAGGATTTTTATCACATCTTATTCGAAGGGTCATTAAAAATGAAAAAACGCAGGATGGTATTAAATTAGAGGGTTGAAGTTGAAGATAGTGGTGAAAACGCACTTTTGCAGTTTTTTAAATATAGCACGAAAACGAAGCAATATTTCGGTATAGTTCATAGGAAAAATTTTGTAGAAAATTGAATTTTCCATCAGAATAGCTTATTTAAAAAAAATTAAAAGAAAAATTTTATGCAAAAACTCGTTAATAATCAATTTAAAAGAAGCATTAGATTTTTTTATTTTTTTTTACATTTTTGACTAATTTTCTTTTTAGTAGAAGTAGGCAGAAAATTGCTTTACAAAAAAACTAGATGTGATTTCCTTCAAAATGATGCATTTTCAAAAGTTTTTGGACTAATATTGACTGAGTTATGACCGGTCAAATATTTTTTAGATTTTCGTCGTTTTTAACATAATAATGATTATAATTCTTATTATTTTTACAACGAATTGGTTATATTTCTTTTTTACTATCTCAAATAAGGAGATTTATAATAATATACATAAATGATTTAATTTAAAAGCTACTTACTAATTATAGCTACTCAAATATTGTTTAGAATTTAAAAAAATTAAAATTAAAAAAAGAATTAAATTGAAAAAAAATTCAATTCCGGTCCCGTAAAAAACCACAAAGGCCAACTTTAACAATAACTTTTTTGAAAAAAAAAAAAAAATAAAAACAATAATAACGTAAAAAACAACAAAAACCAAAAAAAAATTAAAATTGAACCGGTAAAAACGCCAACAATAGTACAAAAAAAACTGAAAAAACAGCATCATGAAGAAAAAAATATCAACTAGTTTTTTGGAAAACAAATTTCCTTGCAAAACTCCAACAAAAAAAAATGAAAAAAAAAAAAGAAAAAAATCAAAAAATCTTATTTGCTTCTTTAAAAATTGTTTATTAACGATTTTTTGCATAAAATATTTTTCTTTTAAAATTTTTAAATAAGCCATTTCGATGGGAAATTCAATTCTCTACAAAATTTTTCCTATGAACTACAACGAAACCGAAATTCGGATTCGTGCTAGAGCTAAAAAAAAAAAAAAGTAAAAGTGCACCCCCACCCCCAAACTCAAAAGCAACACCACCCCGCGGTTTAATAATTAATAACGACTCGAACAACACATCGGAAGAAAAACCCTGAAACGTCTAATTCCCTCCCTTTTTGCAAAAAAATAAAAATAAAAACGAAAAAGGGAAAACCCAAAAAAAACCAAAACAAGAGCACTAAAAATGAACTTTGGAAATAACGTAAATCATTGTTATTAACTTCGATTTAAAATTCACAATAATCCGAATAAATGTTGAAATCTGGACTTTGGCTGGTCATTTGCAAAAATACTTACCCGCGTCAAGCTTTTTTAAGAATGTAGACTTAAATTCTTGGAAATAAATGATGATAAATTACATATTTATTTGATTAATTCTATTGAAAAAATATTGTTTGGTACATAAGAGTCTCATTTAAGCAAATTAGTTACGTAAAATGTTTCGTCATACCCTCTTACTTTAAATAGTATACCTACATCTCATTTTTAAGTATTTATTTGACACTTGAGTTATAGTTGCTGCAATATTTTTAGTTCTGCAAAATAAAATTCCTTTAAAAACTGAATTAAAATTTCACATAACGTCAAGTCAGCTATATTTATTTATTTAGACTGTTTTATTGGTTTAATTGTTATAATATATTTTCTACATTCAAAATTGAAGAGATATTTATATCTAATAAATTATTAGTAATAATATGCAAATATTAGACACGTGTATGTATGATTTCTCATATTATTTTATCCAATGCGGTAGAAATCAGTATAATTGTTATTAATTTTATACATAAACAATGTTTAAGGAAACGTATGCGACGTACAAAATAACAAATTTATCTTTTAAAAAATTCCGCCATTCAAATATATTCTCCTAACTGCGTGTTCTTTTTAATTAGTTATTTATAAAATCTCATTTCTTGTCAAATTTACTGTGACGAACTGTTTACTGCAGAGAAAACAATCTGTTATACTAGTAATAATCCATGTTGTAGTAAGTTTATAGAAATTTATAATAAATGTAGGTACCTA